CAGTTTCCTAAAGAACCAATGTGAAAAGTAATTAAAATTTTTAAAATTTAAAAAATTAATTACTTTATACATCGGTTATAATTATAACTGATGTAGAAATTACTTTTTACATTGATTCTTTTGGGAACAAATGCAAAAGTCTTTTAAATTTTTGCATCATCTTCCTCCTCTTGTACAGATATCATTTTTCATGATTTTTCACTTAGACTAGATTTTCTCCTCAATCTTCACCATTTACGTACCTACAAATAAAAATCAATCTTTTATGTATTGTACATTTAAAAGCACTTCTCATTATATATAATCCAAACAAATCTTATAGTTTACCAAAGTGAATTTTAAAAAAATATATATTCAAATATAAATTTTATTACAATAACTAATCTTTAATAAATTAAATTTTTTCAAATAAACTTTTGAATTACGGAAAATCAAACATGTTAATAGTGTAATTTTCATTAGAGGAAGGTTTCCAAATAACTGTATCTGTCTCACCTCACTATTTATTTTGGTGCAAGATATCAGGTCAACAATATCATAATGAAACCATATCCCCATCTTCCGAGTGCCACAATCATCATTTGGAAGAATATGAGAAACCATTTCCTCCATGTCATAGAACTGCTTTAGTTCACTATTCACCAACTGTAGGTTTACTCAAAGTGGTCCAAATACCTAATTTGTAACTTCACAGTTTGTACTCCTAAAATTAAAAAAAATATATTATACTATAATTTACTAAGTAAATTGAAAGACACCTAAGATTGTAACTTTTTTTGGTGAATACATAAGATTATAATTTAATGAAATAGAATATGAAATTGGAGAAAATCTTGATCAAGATGAATTAATTTCAATTATATTCGTAAAGTTTTAAACTATTATGAATAACTACAAATTTGAATGTGATGAATATTTATTAGCATTGATTTAAATTTAATGAGATTATTTCATGTTAATTGGAAATCATCATGAAATTATTTGAGTAAAGATAATTTAATTAAAAGGGTTTAAATTTTAAAGATTTTAACTATATTTTAAAAAAATGTTAGAAAGAATTATAAGGGAGGATTTGAGAATTTTTGCAAGGTCGATGGAAGGTATTATACAAAAGAAAAATAAATCAAATGAGGTAAAGAATTAAAAAAAAGAAAAAAACAAATTAAAAAAATGAAATTGAATAGTGGATTTAAGGGAAGTGGCCTCCGGCTCACCTCTACTCCTATTTCAACACCTTGTATACCTAACACACACATTCACTTAACCCTGGAGAGAAAAAGTGGAAGAAAGAAAGAGGTAGAAAAATTTATAAAAATATAGTAGAAAAAATATTATTGTTTTTGAAAATTTCTCATCATCCTCTTTTTCTTTTCTTCTTCTCATTTTTCTCTCTGTCCATCCAAACCAAGCTTTAGAGAAGATAAGGAAGGGGAAAGAAACCAGCACTTGATGTAACCCTTGGTATGCTTTTGTAGTAATATTGATCCATCATTTATTAAAAAAAACAAGCATTTCAACTTCAATCTCATAACTTGTGAATGAATAATTTTGAGATGGAGATCTAACGCGTAGAATTCAAAATATATTAAGATTTTTATTATAAATTAAGCTTGATAGAGTTCGCATAAATTTTGAGGGTCAAAAATATGTTACATATATATAATAAAAAAATTTGAAAACATGAGACTGTGACCGACGTAGCCTCCCACTGCCTCTTATTTAAATTCAAAAATTAAAATGTAAATCGATCGAATTGAATTTAAAAAATTGTATTAGATGGGGCCTCGAGGGATCCTTTTTAGATCTCATTTGGATCATATTCACGAAAATTATGCATTTTCATAATATAGAAATTAAAATTTGCGATTTATTATGTTATCACTACTCAACAATATTAATCTCTTTTTGATACTTCCTCCGTTAAAAAATATAAGGCATTTTTTAAGGAATTGAATGTTAAAAAATGTAAGACATTTTTTATTTTTTGAAATATAATCATTATTTTTTTAAAGTATCCCTATTAATAATGATTTTATGTTTATTGTAAGATGTTTAATAGGGGTAGATATAAAAAAATAGGATTAGTTAAAAAATGGGTAACTACTTTATTAGAGTGAGATTCGATTAAAAATATTTTACATTTTTAAACAAAGGAAGTACATTTTTTTGTCTGAAAGTATAAATGACATTTTATTTCAACAATTATTTTCTTCTAGTTTATTTCAGTTTTCATTTCATTCACTCAGCGGATTGATTACATTTATAAATTGAATTCATATTTTAAAAAGAACTTGTTATTAAAAAAAGTTAAGGTATGAGGAATTTAAAATACAATTTTCCCTATAATTTTTTTTCCTTTAAATTCCTTTTCATTGGATTAAAAAATTTATAAAATTGACCAGTTAAAGTAATAAACTTGTTATCACAACGGATTAGTTCGATTTCAATTGATCAAATTAAGTTGTTCACGTAATTTTCAGCTCCTGAAGGTCGTTTCTTGACACCTTAAGGGCAAATTGTGCAAATGCTTTTTAGCAGAAAGAAAAGGGTTAAAGAATAATTTGACCCCTAAGTTACAAATCTAAATGTGTTTGGAATCCTAAGTTTATTATTTGTGTTATGTTACCTTTCATTTTTAAAAACGGTATGATGTAGCTCCTTTTATTAATAAAAGATAACTTTTATTATTAATTGATTATAAAATAACGGACAATGACATTAAAAATTATAAAATATGATAAAAAAAATTACAAAAAAAATTTAAAAATTACAAACAGGAACTCAAAAAATTATGAAAAAGACTAAAAAATTCTATATTCTTTCTGGGTCCTTTTCTATAATTTCTGATATCTTTTTTTGATGATTTTTTGTCAACTAACATTAAAAACTTCCTTTTTGTTAACTATAATGTTATATATATATTACACAATTTTCAAAAGTTAATAGTACAAATTGCACGGAGATTGAGTTTAAAATTTTAGATGCTCATAAATCTACAATTTAAAAGTCAAATTGCTATTTAATTAAAAAAAAGGTAACATGCAATATGAAAATTTCTAAACTTAATAAAACTTTGAATTCCAAGATAAGACTGGTAATTCAATTACGTGATTAATTGACAGCCCAGCTCCCAAGCTTTTAGTCATTTAAGAATTGTACCCTATAATAATTCCCAACTTCTTAAAAAAACCAATAGTCAAACTAAAAAGAGCATGGAAAAAGGTCCCAAAAAAAAAAAAAAACGAGCTTATGTGTCGGCCCAGACATGCCTTATTGTTGGCAAAACAAATTGCATGCTGAAATATTAAGAAAACAATTGAAAGCGATTATATTATTATTAAATAAAAAGTAAGTTACATATTTTTTTAATTTTAAAATTTTTAATATAAACTTGGATAAATTGACTTACTAGTCCAAAAAAAATCTTGTGTCTATAAAATATGGACACAATTTTTAAAAATTTAAAAGTATGACCGATTTATATTAATATATAAGAAGTTTATCACTTATATAAAGGAATTTGTTATTAAAAATTTACAAGAATTTTATCATTATTATGCAACAATGTATCATTGACAAATATAATAAATCAATCATAATATAAAATATAATAAATGTTAAGCTTTTTGATATTATAACATGAGTTATAATTGCAAAAGTATCTATAAACTAGTACATAATTTTTTATGAAAAAATTGTCATAATTTAATATTATATATATATATATATTTATTTATATATCATATACCTTAATAGCAGTTATTGTATTCAAGTTTATAAAATTGGATCAATGTGTGCACTTTGATAAGAAATATACAAGACTTGAGAAAATTTATTTATATAATCTCTGGCATTTAATTATTTTAGTTTCTCATAATTCAGGGGTATGTATCAGTTAAGGGTTTTTAAATTGACGAAGTCTAAAATCAGTCTAACATGAAAAAAATTTTGATGAGTCAAATAGTATGATGATAATGCTTTCATGTCTATTACTTCCTCTTAAGAATCATGACAAAGGAAATTAAAACAAAACCTTGGTAATTAACACACACTCTACCTCCTGCCCATAATTTTTTTTTTAAATAAATAAGTCTCTGGATTTGGATTTGAGAAGCGGCCCTAATCATCTCACCCAATGAGTATCCTACTTGGCACTATAAAAACCATCGATTCAATTAAATATTTGTCACAAATGATGGTACAAGATACAAAGAAAACACTAAATCATGGCTCTACTTTTTTCCTCTATATTTTAATCCAACAATTTATTTGCCAATAGAAAATGATTGAAATGCATTCTCATAAAATAATCATTTAATTTACTGTCTCATTAATGGGTTAAGATGTAAAAATATATAAAATCTTTTTTCTCCAAGAATTTCTAAGTTCTTAAGCTTACAATGGTGCATGAATACTCATTAATTCTATAAAAGAAGCAAAATTTCTCTAACTTGCTAAGTTCTATCATTACAACTTACTAGTAAATGTCATGTTATTTTGACAAATTGAAAAAAATTGACCTCATAAATTTAATGAATACTTGTGTACTATTGTTAACTTAAGGATACTAAATACTCTTGAAAAAAATAAAAAATTATGAATATTTTTACACCTCAACCCTTCATTTATTTCCAGTTAATGAAATCATACAACTATAATTGAAACACTCATTTAACCCAAATCCGTTTAAGAATATTATATAAAAGCTGTAACAATATATGTATGTATGTATGTATTGATATCAAAATATATTTTTTATAAACACAATTATAAACAATACAACTCATTCTTAAAACTCCCAATCTAACAATGATGAATATCCATGTTTTTCATAATCTATGTAACCTTAAACAGCAACAGTTAAAGTCTAAGGTATGTAGATTGAGCAGAATAAATAAGGTTAATAATTTGAACTCTATCTTTCATTTGGACGTGACAATGCTTAATTGCAAATACCAAATGGTTATATTTTTTTTTTAAAAAAAAAAAGAAGAAGAAGAAAAAAACAAGAAGCAGCCGCTTAATAAACACCAGTTGCACTCGGGTAAAAAACTTCGGTACATAAGCATCAATCAACAAGGGAAGTTTATAAGCAGACCTATACAAGAAATACAAGAAGGCTAATTCCACACACATCATGTCAATCATTAATCCTACTCCAATTTAATATATTCAACTAGGTTGGAAGGAGAAAAACCAATGAATGAGGCCAGCACTAGAAATGTCCACCATGAACCCTACACTACCTCTCTTCAACTCACCGGATTGTCACTGAGGTCGTTAGAAAGCACATTCAACAGAAATATTAGTCTGTAAGAATCATTAATCATAATCTTAGTAAGAATTTGTCATAGGGATTGATTGCCATCTCACACAAAATCCAACCTCTTCTTGTCCTTAAGGATTTCACTAAGAGGCTTGGGATCCTGGAAGTCAGTGGAAGTACTATTGAAATGCCCTTTTTTTGCAGCAGTCCTCTTCTCTTCTTTAATTTCTGCTAGACTCTTCGGTCCGTGAAATGTAGACGTGGCAGACGCGGGATTATACCTCCGCTTTGAAAGTGGTTTCCTGAAGATTTTAGATGGAAGAAACCGTCGTTGAGCTTGGTTTTCTTTAAAGTGCTGCTTCCTTGATGAACGTTGCAGAGGGTGCCATAACCTGTGCCAAGTTTCACCCTCGCCCTTTGAGTCTATGCTGCTAAATCCCACCTCTGATGTCAACCTTCTACTGAGTTGCTGATCAAAACCGTGTCTTCTAAACCTCTCGTGGTTCTGAATCACCAGACAAGATGATTCACGTCTTCTCAAAAAGCCTGTAACAGGTCGACCATCAGTTTCTCTTCGTCTCGTCAGATGGTCCCGTAGATCTAAGTTCCTGTCACAAGCAGCCATTTCAGCTGGCATCCGAATCCTCTTCCTGGACAATATAGAGTCTATGATTCTCTCTCTGGAAAAAGCAGGAACTCTTCTGTCATCAGCCAGACTATGATCACCTCCATAAATCTGCAACCATCATACATATCTTCATACAAAATGTCAGCTTCTGAGCATTCAGGGTCATACTCGACTGTGTTTTTGAATTCATACTGCAAGTACTGCCCGTTCAATTCCCTGTGTTCCCCATCAAGCATTGGTAAATATTCAGAATCATCCTCATAGGCCGAGTCCACCATTTTATCATCAACAAGAACATCAAATCCAGGGGATGATTCCAATCGTTCCTCAGGTCCCATGTGATTATTCACTTGCTCATCTGTACTCTGATCAGTGCATATATGGGAAATGCTATGAACAAAGTCCTTTTCTGGATATATAGAGTCTGGCCTTATCACACTGGCTTCTTTATATTCATAAGCAGACATCTCAGGTGGACTATTTTGCTGTTTAACATTTTTCAGTACTGGTCGCTGAGGATCTTCATCAGGGTCAAATTTACAATTATGCAGAGCCTTTGGGGCAATTTCAGATGAATCAGGATATGTTTCGGTTGTTGTTATTGCTAATGCTACACCTGTTTTATTTCCAGATGATGTTTTATTTTCTATGGGCAGTGCATCATTGCTTCCAGAGTCATTCTTCCCAGCCTTACCAGGAAAAGAACTATAATCAGGCCCATGCAAAAATGAGCATCTGTCGCCTTTATTGCAAAATCCATTAAAGAAAAAATAACAGGGAACAGTTGTCTTGTTTGCAGGTAAAGAAGTTTGTGTAGGTTCAGATGGCACTCCAGTATGCCCTTCCAGTGGCTGTGAAATTTAGAAGTAGATTGTTAGCAGATTAGTATCAGTTGAGGGGGAAAAAAGGAATCAATTGATTCCCCCAATCCTCCTTTTTTTGGGGTGGGAAGCTGAAGAGGCTAGATTGCAAGTATTTTCATAGTATATCAATGCAGCAGAAGATTGAATGTTTTTCTAGGCATAAACTAAATGATTTTAATCTTCAAATCTGCCCAGCTAAATAAAATTAATTTTCTTGTGAGATAGTAGAATGTAACCCAAATTAACCTCAAAATAACTTTTTACAAGGATATAACATTTCATGGCACGTATGATAGCCAAATCTAATCTTTAAGCATTATCATTCAACGAGCTTCCCAAAATACCAATCAGGCATCATCCTATTCTCACGCTGTCATTGTCAAACAAAATCTCCAACTAAAGAGCTGCTCACCTATACTCAACAAGAACAACCATAATATCACAAAAAAGTGACTATATAACAACCTGAACCAATTTCAATTTTCACCTTCATCACATTGCAATTTTCTTCAGTTCTCTCCATGTGTTTTCATTGTGTTCAATGTTTGTTAACAAGGTGCATCACAGTCAACCTTTCTTACTTTCATTCAAGTTAACTCAGCGACAGATGGAAATTCTGTCACGGACATGCAGCAAGTGCATATAAAATATTACGGTAATTGCATATTCGGCCACACACAGGCAAATATCATCAGTGTAACCAAAATGGCTCCATGCCTCACACGTCTAAACTACAAAAAAATATTGCATCCTTGTTTTCCTTTTGAAATAAAGAACTAGCTAACAAGGAAATTGTCACCATGATTCACTCGATAGAAATTTTGGCTAAGCCTCCAATAACTACAAAAATCATAACTTAAAAAGGCAGTGACAAATAAATAATGAGTGTTTTTCTGCCAACACTAATATGTGCATGGTTGTAATGTATAACATACGCCACTAAATCTTTAATGTAAAATTTGCATGATATGACTACCAATAACAATGGTTTTCATGGAAGCCACAATATTTAAGCTGGAAAAGGTAATTTCAGCCATCTTGGCACTTATTGTATTTCAAGATGTTTACCATTTACCACAAAATCTAATTGCAGGCTATATCATCCAAACAGTAAACAAGATGCGAATGAGTTTTTGTTTTCTATTTTCTTATACAACATTTTAGCTCTAGATATGAAATGTACGCATTGGTAACAGTCACACACAAAAACACATTCGCATGGAAGCATGCAAATTAAACAAACATGTCAGAAAAATGAAATAACAGCAAGTCAGCAATATGTGAACTCACAGGATGTCTGAAAGCACAAGTTGGATTAAGGCAGCTTCCAGAAAACCAGTACCAGCAATCCCTTGGGTTTAGCCTTGCAATTTCATTATGCCGATAATCACAATCAGCTCCCTGGAAACAATATGAAAGTATTAGTTGGAGTCGAGACACCACAAATCCGCCAAAACTTGGAACAAAATGAACAATTAAATTAAACAATTTAATAAATATATAAATAAACAGCTCTTCGGTTCTCAATTCCCACCTAAAACCCTAGCGAGTGATTCACCATATAACTATAAAAATGAACAGCACAGAGAAGAAGAAAGGAAGCCATATAAAATCCTGAACACCAGGCATTATTTCAGTTCAGAACAACAACGATAATATACGCAATTCAACCAAAATTAAGGAGCATAAAAAACGCAATGTGAGAAAGAACAAAAGCAACCGAAGATCCATGAACTGTAGGGTTGAAGCAAACAAATTCAAAAATAGGCACCAAAGAAGCATCCAGGATTGTCATCACGAGCGCCATTGCAAAACCACACAATCAAATGCAGATTAACGCATAATTATGAAAAAAAAAACAAAAACTAGGGAAAAAAAGAAAAAAAGACAAATACCAAAAAGAGTAAAAGAGAACGAAAACGAGAAGAGGGTGGGAACATTCACTGCGACGTACCTTCTTGCAAGTGAGAGGGGAAGCCAAGAAATAGACGCAATCAGTGTTTCGCTTCAACAAATCTTCGTCCATCTTTAGAAAGAAAAAGAGAAACCCTCGCAAGAGCAATTCCTAGAAGAGATCACGAATAGTCCATCGATGTTCGAATTTTACTCTAGTTGGCTGAGATCGTCATGGAGGGAGGGAAAGATAGCGAGAGGCGTTTGGTTTTAGGTTGTCTGGGTTTTTTCGGTTCACCTTATTTTTTTAAAAATTGTTGGGCTTTCTTGGGCACAAAGAAGAGGTTGGAGAAACTGGCCAAGTGGGCCTGGATAAGTGGGGAGGAAGCCAGCGAGGATAAATGGTTAGTGGTGCAAAACCCTAATGGGCATATCCTAAATTGGCCATATTTTTAAAGCCTAGCCCACATTCACAAGGCATAAGGCTGGCCCAAAAGCCTGTATAGCTTTTTTTTTTAAATTGTTTAATTTAAATTTCTAATTATGTTAATATATAATTTAAAAAATTATTTCATTTTTATATACTAATTTAAAAATAAAATAAACCAAACAATTTGAACCATGTTATTTTGCAATGTAAACAATTGCAACCAAATAATTATTAGCTATTTCAACCACATGTTGATTGGAAAGTGGAGAAAGAAATATAGGATCTAAAAGAGCTAGCACGAGCTTGAGTTTATTTTCTAAGGGCTTATAAGAGCTAGGTTTAAAAGCTGCTTTTTTGTTTTTTGGTAAAAAACTCCCATTCCAAGTCCAACCCTAGAAAAATATAGGTATAAACTAGTGGCTTGAAGGGCCTAGCTCTTATTGACAAATTTGCTAGCATAGGAAGCAAAAAGAGAAGCAATCAAACCAAGGCCACATCTCAAGTTTGGGGTTTAGATTTAGGGATTCTAGCTTATGTGGATGAACAATGTGAGGAGGATGGTAATGGGGTGAACGAGGTTAAACATGTAAAGTAGGCTCCTACATGATCATTTTTAGCAAAAGCAATAAAGGGGACAAAAAAAGAGTAGTATGGAGAGGGAACAGACTTGTTAATTGCTTTGTTTTGGTCATAATGAAACTTAAATAAAGTTGTGTTTGTGTAGGTTTTAAAATTATTCATGACAAAACCAACCTAAGGGAGAAAAAGAAGAAGATAAAGAGAAGTGTAGTTCATAGGTTTTATCATTTATATTTCTCTTAGATCAATTGAAAAAAACCTTGAGATATGAGAGCTTTGCATATGCATGATAAAATATTTTGAGAGACAAGTCTTAGGCTAACACACACACACACACACACACACACACTCTCTCTCTCTCTCTCTCTCTCTCTCTCATTGATTTCGAACTTAGAAAACATCTTTGTGCCTTTCATACTCTTCATCTATTCCTCACCTTGGACTAATATGCCCATGCGTGTTTTAATAAATGAGTTTTATAGTTCCATAACATCCTTTAGTTTTGTGATGCTTAAACATACAAGTGCCAATATAGCAAATGTAATATCCCAGAAGGGAGACCTAAGTGATAACCATAATTCTGAGAGTTAAGGGGTTGATTTAGGGTCTAAGTGTCCTTTAGGATAGGGTAATGACATTAAGTTTAGGGCTGGATGAAAGGTGGAAATCCTGAGTAGAGGAGCTTTACTGTGCTACTCGCTTAAGTAAGTGAGAGTACTCACTAGGGTGAGCAATGTCATGCTTATTGGGGCAAGTGGAGTAGCTTGTTGAGGCAAGCAGTGCATTTTGAGAAAAATTATAAATACATGATTTAGCATAAAGTAGAAGTTAGAAACTCATTTTAAACTTTTTGGAGGTGTGGTTTTCCATAAAGCTCTACTAGGGTTTGTAGTCTATGACCTAAAGAGCATTGAAAGAGCTAGATTCCTATAAGGTAAGTCCCCTTAGACCTGATTTACTCTCTTCTACCTTTTTATTTTCTAAATCTGATAATTGAGATCTTGACCTAAGCTTAAATCTCATATTACAATTCTTAAGGATTTTTCACTTGAGTCTCAAATAGAGTATTAACTAGTCTAATTATTCATATAAAGCTCATCTGTAGATTAAGAAAGCTTTAGAATCATCTGGGTTTATGTATCATAGAACTTAGGGATTGGGAAGTTGAACCTTTGATCTCTTAAAGGTTTAAGATAATTGGGAACTTATTATGTTATGTATTATAGTTTGTGACATTGCTTGATAAATTGATTTTGTTGTTTTACTTATTAAAATGAGATTTGCATGTGAGTTGTGAAATCTGAATCTAAACTGTGATACATTATTTTGTATGACTTTAGGAGTATGATCTGAATGCTTGAAGCATGTTATGTGTTACTAGGAATTGTCTTATTATATGTTTTGTGTCATGGGAAACCTGTAATTGAGTAGTGTTAGAAATGATGTACACATGAATCCTAAAATGTGATTCTGTTATGAGAATATTGTTCATGTGAGAGTTCACTTGTAAGAAAGAAGTCGTTATTATGAAAACCCATGGTAAGCCTTACCGAGATTGCACACCAATAGTGATTAATATGTTACATGTGTGCTTAGTTTCACTAGTTGGATTAAGCGCATCATGACACCCTGAAATTTAAGTAAGGAGAACTCATGGTCCAAACTTGAGTGCAAAAGCCTTGGTTAGGAAACCCCTCCTATTTTGAAAAGCAAATTTGGCTCAATCATACAAATTAGAGCTATAGTTAATTGCCCATGGGTTCAGTTAAAGGAAATAAGGAGGTTATAAAAGGGATTTTAGCATACATCATTATAAAAATGATTATTGATAAGTTATTATAGAAATGAGTATTTAATATGTATACTTTGAAAGTGACTTGTATGTGGTTTTAAGCTAAAATATAAGTGTTATATAAATTGTTTGTTATCACTGTTTTATATGCCATATTAAGTGTCTTAGTTACTGATATTTTGTATGAAACCTCACCCTATTATATTTACATGTTTTTAGGAGGAGAAAAGGGAAAGGAGAAGGTCAAAGCCTTAAGAACTAGGCACTAGAGATCTTTAGACTCTGGTGATTATTGTAATGCATAATTACTTTGATATTTTGCTAACTATAGGGAACTTTAGCTGCATGTTTAATCCACATTAAAATTTGTATTTTGGTATTTGAATTACTTAGGCCTAAACTAGTTTTAGATGCCTTAGTTTATATATATATATATATATATATTAAAGAGATTTGAGTTAGGTTTTAGCTTTATTTTACTTATTGAACTCTGATTTAAATTGAAAGCATGCTTGGGAAGAGATTTTGGAATATTATGGTTGTGTGAATGATTTTAATGATTATACATATAAAGTTATTGTCTTGAAATACTATGAATAAATGAATTTAGATTAGGGGATACATGTTGGCTATCGAGGCGAGCAAGCATAGGCCTAGGTGAGTAAGTGAATTCTCACTGAGCGAGTGATAGGTAGGCCAAGGCGAGTAAGGGTTGGCTTGTTGAGGCGAGGTGCTACACTTGCTTGATGGCTTAGCATGCAAGCCAATGTGAGTTTCACCGCAGCTTAAGGCTGAAACAAGGAAGTATCTTTTATGAGCTGTAATTATATGATTATTCTAATTTGATAGAAGACATATATGGAATTTATGTGTCTTATTTAAGGATAGTAAGTCATAAAGGCTAGCCTAATTTGTTAAATGTGATGCTATATGGTGTGTTGGGAGTAGTGACTATGATTATTATAGCAACAAGAGTTTAGAGCTCTAGAATAGAAGATGCTTTTATGGTGCTCAAACTCTCATAGGTATGGGTTATGCCAATGCAAGTTCTTGAGCTCTAGAAGAGAACTTTATTTTAAGCACTCAGAATACTCAAGGTTTAGTTGTGACCGATGCGAGTTTTAGTATGTTAGTAGTAAACTAAGGTTCTGGTTGTCTTATCCTGTCGAGGTGTAAGTTATGACCCTCACAAGTTTTAAGCATTACTTGCAACTTGAGTTCTTGTTAATGCTTATCCTCGTGTTGGTAAGGTTGCCTAATACTTGTTTAGCCTTTTACTCAAGTTTGCTTTTGTTTGGGCTTTGAACACCTAAGTCTTTGTCAAATCTTTTCTAAATGTTTGAATCTCATCTATGTCTTACTTACTTTGTCTGGTTTGCGCCCAAGCATTTTTTAATGAATTTATGAGGTCATTCATGTCTTGCACCTATTCCTCACATTGCATAGAGTACACCTATGTGAGTTCTAATGTTCTAAAGGAGCATGTGCTTCTACCTATCTTATCTTCTCTTTGACAAGTTTGCACCTACAGAAATTCTAGAGTTATAGAGAGGCTTGTGCTTTATCTAACTCATCTATGTGTTAGCCAAGCCTATTTTCTCTTGTGTTTTCAATTCAAGTCTTCATTGCTCCCAATTAAGCCACTCATCTTTGCGTTGGCAAGTGTAACATCTCGAATTCTTAATCCTGACACTAAATGTTAATTAAGGGTAGATCAGTAAAATTAATGAATTAATTGGACAATTAGGATTTTGAATGTTGAATTGACATTTTGTCATGTAGGTGTGTTAAGTGTTTAGGATCAAGTGAAAAGATAGCGATTCAACATGAAATGTCTAAGCTACAGTGAGAAGTTTCTCATTGTGCCATGCACGGTGGCATATGTTACATACGCTGCAGCATATGGCACAGAAATTAGATTAGTATGTGCATGATCTGGCATGAAAATTAGAAGGAAAGGGAGAGGAAAATGTGAAGAGAGGAGGAGAAAGAGGGATCCTCTACTAAGGAAAGAGATGTTAAGGTACTGAGAGTCAATTTCAACTAGTTGCTTGTCATGTAAGTTTCATATCACTTTAAGCTTCTATTCTACACCAATTTATCTTGGTTTAACATATAGAGAAATTAAATTAGGGAGTTTTAAGGGGTTGATTTCTTACCCTTTTGTAATAAAAAGGTTCTGAAAAGTTGAACTAAGGCCTTACAACTAGTTTGGTGATTATCAGTTGAGCTATAAGGTTATAGGCTCAATTTAACCTAAATTAAGAAGTTTAAACAAGTGATAATGGTTACATGGTTGTAGAGAAGCTAATAGAAGTGGTAGAAGGCATGAAGGGAAATGATTAGGACCTAAGAGGACTAAGTGAAAGTGGTTAGATAGTTAATTGTGATTAACTATGATAATTAGCATTTATGGTTAAATTTAGTAAAGAGTACCATGGGTAACCCTTTCTAGTAATATAAGGGTTGAGGTA